TATCTATCTATCTATCTATCTATCTATCTATCTATCTATCTATCTATCTATCTATCTATCTATCTGAATAAGTGAGCAGTGACTCATGAAAGCTCCTAGGTTTCCCTTGCTCGAAAGCCGGTCGAATTCAACTCTAGGGATGCAGTGCTCATCTCCGTTTCCAAGCCAAAGAGCCAGCACCGTCCGAAGACGTTTCCGTGGTCACGTGGCCGGCATGACTAAACACCGAGGTGCACGGAATGCTGTTTACCTTCCCACCGAAGCAGTCCCTATTTGTCTACTTGCAATGTCTTGCTTTCAAACTGCTAGGTTGGCAGGAGCTGGGGCCAGAGACGGGAGCTCACTCCATCCTGCGGCACTCGGGTCTCGAACTGCCGAACTACCAACCTTCCGGTCTACAGATCAGCGTCGTAACCGCTTGAGCCGCCGCAGCCCCGCAAAAGCTCCTCCCCTGCCACAAATTTTGTTCGTCTTGAAGGTGCTACTGGACTGTTGCTCTTTTCTACTGCTACGGACAGACTAATACGGCCACCCGTCTCGATCATTCTAGGGTATTCCCTGTCCACTCTGTTCTGGGTGGGCCCGGCTACCTTGATCTCTCTTCGTCTCTTGCCTTGAAAACCCTACGGGGTCGCCGTAAGTTGTCCGTGACCCGACGGCCCTTCCCAACACCGCCACTCTCTGCTCAGAACAAGAGCCTTCCTTGGCTCACTGAATCCTCCTTACCTGCCGGTGCCTCGGGACCCTTCAGCCCTTGCATGGTCTCCCCCAAACCGCCAGTCGATGGGTCAATATAGACCCCCGTCGGCACCTCGGTCTGCACCCCGAGCTCCTTCATCTTCAGCGTGGTGAAAGGGGTGACAAAGTTGTAGGTGAGGGCCAGTTTCTCAGCTCGTTCTCTCAGGTTCTCCCTCTCCTCAGAGTCGTCGCTCTTCAGCCAGGAGGTCAGGAGTTCCTTGATGGTGAGGTAACTCCAGGCCCGTTCCACGTAGTTCCGGCTGTCGGTGGGGTCCTCGACGCCGCTGGGGGCGCTCCCGACGCTGTTCTGGCTGGGGAGATCGAAGGCCACGTCGGTTTTGAGCAGGATGTACTTCTTGCTGTTGCTGGCGGTCACTTCAACGTGGAGGCTGTGGGCCGTGTGGTTGAGCAGCTTCCCGGCGATGACAATCTCGGAGCCGTTGAAGTAGTTGGAGAAGAGTTTCTGGGTCACGTGCTCCACGCTGCCCACTGGATAGTCCACCCGGATATCAGAGAGAAGGGGCGTCCTGATCTCATTGTAGAATCTGTATACGAGCACACAGTTATTTGATCGCACCGTTTACCTCAGGGGTGTCCAATTCATTTGTTATGAGGGCCGGATCTGACATAAATGAGACCTTGTCGGGCCGGGCCACGTGTGTCATAAAATGTAATGCCAGGTAGCGGAGATGTAAACTTTATAAAGAACACAAACATTTTTTTAACTTAAATTAAAAACATGCTTAAAACATTAGCTCTGTAAGCTGCAAACCTACTTTTGGTTTATTGACATACACCACAGAAATCTCGTGCTCAGAGTTCTGAGTCTAGGACCCAGGTTAAAACATGAAATGGCTGAGTGATTGAGAGAGTCCGGCGAAGCAAGCTATGATGCAGCAGCAGCAGCAGCAGAACTGGAAGTAGGAGATGGCCAGGTCCACTGCCAGCCTGATGGGAGCCCTCCGGGGGCCTGATCCGCCCCCTGGGCCGCATGTTTGACACCCCTGGTTTACCCTGAGGAGAAGTTCAACAAAAATGCTAAACGTTGTAGTCTCCTTTTGAAAAAATGGCATGGGAGACTGATGGTTTCTTGGTGATATTTATCTACCCAGAACATTTTTCTTATCCCACCCATTCTCCCAAGAGCCCAGAGTTTTACACGTGTTCTCCCAGTTTGGTATAGTGAGTGAGTTTGGTTTAGTGCCAAAAAGCCGGTTTGGTGTCGTGGTTAGGAGCGTGGGCTCCAATCTGGGAGAACCGTGTTTGATTTCCCCATTCCTCCACTTGCAGCCAGCTGGGTGACCTTGGGTCAGTCACAAGTTCTCTCAGAGCTGTTCTCTCAAGAGCAGTCCTCGAAAGAGCTCTCTCAGCCCCGCCTGCCTCACAGGGTGTCTGTTGTGGGGAGGGGAAGAGGAGGAGATTGTAAGCCGCCCTGAGACTCCTTCAGGTAATGAAGGGCGGGATCACGGCACCAGCTGCGTGTGGAGGAGTGGGGAATCAAACCGGGTCTCCCAGATTAGTGTCCATGCTCCTAACCACTACACCAAAGACCCTCTTGGTTTCCAGGTTCTCAGGAAAAACGGTTGTGATTGTCAGATGCCAGGGAGCGAACAGTGGGGCCTTTCTTGGGACTTCCCTGTGGCATCCAACCGGACACGGATGGAAATGAGATGCCGGACCAGATGGGGTATTGGTTTGATCTAGCAGCACTGCTCTTATGTTCTCTCTGAGCAGGGGTCCCCAACGTGGTGCTGTGGGCACCACGGTGCCCACCAACACGTTTCCTGGCGCCCACCAGGTGCTTTTTTGGAAAATGGGTGGGGCCAGTGGTGGCACTTGCCCGGCAGGGATTCTGATTGGCCACTGGAGATCTGATTGACTGGGTAGGTTAAAATGACATTGTTTCAGGGGCAGCGGCCAGCAGAGTGCAGCTTTTGTTCTGTCTCATTGCTCTTTCCCAGTTTGGTGTAGTGGTTAAGTGCGCGAACTCTAATCTGGGAGAACTGGGTTTGATTCCCCCACTCCTCCACTTGCACCTGGCTGGATGACCTTGGGGCAAGCCGTAGTTCTGATAAGAGCCGTTCTTGAAAAAAGAGCCATTTCTGTCAGAGCTCTCTCAGCCCCACCTACCTCACAGGGTGTGTCTGTAGTGGGGAGGGGAAGGGAGAGGAGTTTGTAAGCCGCTCTGAGACACCTTTGGGTAGTGAAGGGCGGGGTATAAATCCAATCTCCTCTTCTTCTTCTTTTACCTCACAGGGTGTCTCTTGTTGGGAGGGGAAGGGAAAGGAGTTTGTAAGCCGCTCTGAGACACCTCTGGGTAGTGAAGGGCGGCATATAAATCCAATCTCTTCTTCTCTTTTTCATCTTACAGGCTTGAGGGGCAGAATCCTATACACCCCTGCATTTGGGATTCTTCTCTGTGTGTGAGTGTGTGTGTTTGTGTGTGTTTGTGTGGCTCTGTCCTCTACAGGCAGCCATTTTGTGCTTGCGCCCACCACCCTGTGTCAGAATTCCAGTGGTGCCCACTGGCTCAAAAAGGTGGGAGATGCCTGTCTTAGAGACTCTATCTTTGGTTCCCCCGTGTGTGTCTTGTGCTGCCTTTCGCTGCTTCTCTTCCTTTCTTCCTTTTTTTACCTTTTTAAAAGTTTCCATGATGGATTTTTAACATAAATGTGCTGCCGTAATGGAAAATGTTATTTCCTGTGGGATGCTGCTAAGAACACTCCTGGTGGGAAGAGAAGACCACCCGCCTGTTCCATAAATAAATAAGAGCAAATACATAACATTCCAGTTCCTGAGCGGCTGTTTCCACGTCCAATAAGAATAATGCATCATGAGTCAGCCAAAGTGAAGACTATGGTCCATTCTGCATCTGGTATTTGTTCTACATTTTATCAGCACTCGACCTGGTTGCCCCTCGCCTCGGAATATCTGTTTTCATTGCATTGCCTTGGATCCTGGTTTCTCCATTGGCTGGTGTCAGCTTGCCACCTATTCCTGCATTGTCATGAAGATTTTCCTGTGTCAGTACTTGCCTCAGCAGCAGTCATTAGCCGCCTGAGCTAGGTAATTGATGGTGAGGTGAGAAATACAGAAGGGGAAATAGGAGCGGGGGAACTGGAGGAGACCAATGAAGCCCTGCCAAGCTGTCTGCTTATTGCTCCCTTCGAATCGGAAGTGGAGGAAGGAAAAGGTGCCACTCAAAACTACATATAGATACCCCGGGGCAACGTCGTATTGTAGGGTTGCCAAGTCCCGCAAAGGGCCCCTCATGGGGCTCGGCAGTGGAGCTGCAAGGCCGGCAGCGGCGGCCGGGACCGTTGGGGGCGGGGTGTGTGGCCTTATGACACACTTCCGGTGATGTCAGGGTGTGTGGCATATGCTAATGAGTTATGCTAATGAGTTCCCCTAGCTCTTTTTCTACGAAACGACCCCTGGCGAAGTCACCCCTGAAAGGCCATAAATCTATGCAGAAGGCACCATAAAACCCAAAGAACAAAGAAAGTGGAAGCGGCATGTGGCTGTGGGAAAACTGCGAGGAAACAGATGGGTGCAGAATCAGCCTACGCTTCGTTCAGCCTGCCGAAAATCAGTGGGATCTTTCCCCCACAATCACAGTCTCCGGATTGTATACCTAACTTTGTATATCCGGATTGTACACCCAAAATTTTATTGTATTTATTGAACTGTGATGGGACCTGCCCTGAGCTTGCTCACGGGATGGGTGGGATATAAATACAAATAAATAAATAAATAACTCTCTTGCAGAAGCAACAGTAAAAAAAGAGAAGAAGATGGTCCAATGGAAAAACACAGTCCTGTAATGTAGAGTTTCCACGGTAACATTAATCTGGGAGCATCCGTGTGTGTGTTTGTGTGTTTCTGCTCAGAATATCTTTTGCTCCCTCTAGTGGCTGAGTCTATATTACGTTGGTTTATGTTCAGCATATCTTTCTGCAGATTTAAACTGCAGATTTTTAATGCCGGATATAAACCGATATATTATTGCGTTGACCACTAGAGGGAGCCAAACGCATGCAGAACAGAAACCCGCCCCCCCGAAATTACAAGGGAAATTAAAAATTAAATTATATGGCATTGTATGTGGTATAGTCAGGACAGAGATCCTAGGATTGTCTGGCAGGCTGAAGCTCTAGCGCTTCTTCTTCTTTTTTTTAGCGTTATGCAGTGAGCTAGGCTTATTTTGGGGGGCTGGGAGAGCTGTGACGGAACCAAGGTCCCCCAGCTTGGCTTCAAGTGGAGAAGGGTGGAATTGGACCCGGTTGTCTAGATTAGAGTCCGTCACTCTTAACGGCTACACCATGCAAGGGAGAAAAATTAGAATGTGGAAAAGCCCAGAAATAACAAAGGAAGAAATAAAGGAAGAACCCTGCCTTGAGCAAGACATAGAAACATTCTAAATTAACAAATAAGAAGAAAGGTCTCCCCCACCAACCCTTTCAGGTGCTCGGTGGCGTCCTCGTCTTCCCGGATGCGCCGCATCATCCCACAGTTCTCCAGGGCCAGCCTCTCCAGCAGCTGGTAGTCGACGTCGTTCCCGATGCCAATGGTGAAGAGGCAGAACCGGTTGTGGATGGCCGCCTTGGTGTTGTTGACGATCTTGGTGGAGTGCGTCTCCCCGACCGTGGGCCGCCCATCGGTCAAGAAGATGATCAGGGAGGCGCTTCGGGCATCAATGTCGCTCTGGGAGATGTAGTCGTTGAGGATCTTCGTGCTGATCTGGAGCGCCCCGTTTATGTTGGTGCCTAGGAGGAAGCCGCACAATTAACCCTTTCCCCCTTTCTCCACCAGGATGCGTGGGCGGTTTATTAATGAACTATCGCATGGCATTGCGTGTAGAATAGCCAGGAGATCCTAAGAATGTCTGGCAGCCAGACGTTCTAGCTCTTTTAGAGTTATGCACTCTGTGTTGGTTTATGTTGGTGCCTAGGAGGACAACACACAATTAACCTTTCCCCCTTACTCCACCAGGATGCGTGGGCGGTTATTAATGAACTATCGCATGGCATTGCGTGTAGAATAGCCAGGAGATCCTAAGAATGTCTGGCAGCCAGACGTTCTAGCTCTTTTAGAGTTATGCACTCTGTGTTGGTTTATGTTGGTGCCTAGGAGAACAACACACAATTAACAATCATATGTTGGTGCCTAGGAGGACAACACACAATTAACAATCATATGTTCTGCCAAGTCCCATCTTCAACCCCAGTGGGGGACTTTGGGGGGCGTTCCTGGAGGGGGCAGGGCATCCCCGATGTGATGACGTCACATTGGGGCCTTCCCATCCCACCCACCCGATCTTCCAGCGGCGCAGGCTCCCTGCACTTAAAGGGGCCCCTTTAAGTGCAGGGAGCCTGCGCCGCTGGTGCACCCGACAGAGATCGGGTGCGTGGGAAATGCCGGCTTCCTGCACTTAAAGGAGCTGGCATCCCCCCCCCCTCACGCACCCCTCTCTCTCTCAAGAGAGAAGGGAGAGGGGTGGCTGGGGATGTTGGGGCTTGGAGGCAGGGGACCCCTGCCAAACCAGGGGGGTTGGCAACCCTACCCTTCTTAGCTTATGAGATGTGATGAGATTGGGCTAGTCCATGTGAACCAAGTCAGAGCCACCTTGGATTAAGGGCAGGATAAAAATATGATAATCAGAGCAATGAATGGGGGTCAGACGCAACAAAATATCCCGATACAGTCTGGTGAGGCTCTTAGACGAAAGAGCGAGAGTTCTAAAGAGTGCCAAGGCTGCTGTTCTGCTGTTCTGTCTTTGACCTCGGCTGAACTACAGTCTAGCTACCCAAAGTAGCTTCAGAAACATCCTCCCGGATGACAGATACTTCTTACGATATGCATCTACTAATGAAGCTTATCTTACCCCACCCGCTGGCACAGGGAGGGCCCAGTCACTCAAAGCAGGGCCTGCAATTCCCACCTCTAAATCAGCCAATGTGCACAGACTTGCTCAGAGTTTGGCAAACCCGCTGGTAATTTTTCTGTTTCCAAAATATGGATTTCCAGAGAACCTGCAGTTCTTGGGAAAAGGAAGGGCTACTGGATCTCCAAGCTGCTCCCCACTTCTATGTACTAAGCCCCCCACCCATGAAGATTAATGCCCTTAGACACTTATCTCTTCTCAAAGATCGGCATGTGCTAGGGATGCCAGCCTCCAGGTGGAACCTGGGGATCCCAGAAGAACATAAGAAGAGCCCTGCTGGATCAGACCAGTGGTCCATCTAGTCCAGCATCCTAAGAACATTAGAAGAGCCCTGCTGGATCAGACCAGTGGTCCATCTAGTCCAGCATCCTAAGAACATTAGAAGAGCCCTGCTGGATCAGACCAGTGGTCCATCTAGTCCAGCATCCTAGGAACATAAGAAGAGCCCTGCTGGATCAGACCAGTGGTCCATCTAGTCCAGCATCCTAGGAACATTAGAAGAGACCTGCTGGATCAGACCAGTGGTCCATCTAGTTCAGCATCCTAAGAACATAAGAAGAGCCCTGCTGGGTCAGACCAGTGATCCATCTAGTCCAGCATCCTAAGAACATTAGAAGAGCCCTGATGGATCAAACCAGTGGTCCATCTAGTCCAGCATCCTAGGAACATTAGAAGAGCCCTGCTGGATCAGACCAGTGGTCCATCTAGTCCAGCATCCTAGGAACATTAGAAGAGCCCTGCTGGATCAGACCAGTGGTCCATCTAGTCCAGCATCCTAAGAACATAAGAAGAGC